GACGGAACCCCGCCTCTCATGGAACTGTACAGCTCCGCCTTCGGAAACCATCCAAGGCCCGCCAAGGTCAGCGGACTGGGGGTTATGGTAGCGTTTTGAGACCCGGACCCATGGGTTTGAGACGCAAAACTTGGCTTGCAGGCCCCCCCACCCCCCCCCCCCGCGTTTTGGGGCTGTAAGGGAGAAAGGAAGAGGGTTTTCACCCTCTCCGCCTTCGGCAACCATCCAACACGCCCCCCAAGGTCGGCGGATAAGAAAATAAGGTAGAAAATTAGTCAAATCTACTGCGCAGGCTATGATTTTCTGATAAAAGGTAGGTTTTGGAGGGGGGGGGGGGTAGCATATATATATATATGTATATAACACACACACACACTTACATATGTATGTATAGATAGATAGCTAGCTCAACCCTGTACATATACATCTATACACCACCAGTACGGTAAGGAGGGTAGCCGTCAGCCTCGACTCTATCGATATTCCTTGGAGCAGGATTTAGGGTTTGGGGTTTAGGGTTTACGGTTTAGGATTGAGGGTTCAGGGTGTGTTCCACAAGCCTGACTAGTTGCCAATATTGCACCTGATAGTCCTGCTTCAACTGTAGTATAACGATATGCTCCAAAGCCACATTCTGATTGAATAGGCTCCTAGACTAGTTTTGAGTAATCTCCCTGCGACAGGCCCAAAACTAGTTCGGGATTCGCCGCAGCCTTTAGACATTTTGGATTCGACTTTGTAGAGCTTGGGGTTAATTACCCAAGTTGTTTGTTTGGGTTTACGGTCTATACCCTGGGGCTCCGTGTCTTTCAGGTAGTCCCTATTTACACTGATTCCCAATGTCTATAAATAGCACCTACGTTGGGCCATTTGGCGCCCTAGGGATATAGGGTTTAGTGACCAAGTGCAGGATCGTGATCCAAAGCGCGACTGGGCTCTTCCAGGGCGCAGCTTGGAGCAAGAGAGGCTCAAGCGTCACGCCGAAGGACCGAGCTGGCAGAAGCGCTCCATGAAGTTGTTACAGTACCCTCCCCAGAACCGAACACGAATGGAAGCGCAAAAGGCGGCTACAAAGTTCATTGGCCGTTTCAAAGGGCACCATCCCGTATGGTTTGCTTGGGGGAGGAGAGGGTATTTGGTGTGTTGCAAAAGGATGATGGATTGTGTGGCGATCTTGTATTGCACTTGTGGGGATATGGATTGTAGGCGTCAATCTGGGGTTTGCAGCGGTTGGAAGCGGGAGTCTGAAAGATAACCCCAAAGAATCCATAAACGCGACGTCGGATAGAGTCAGTATAGGCCGTTTATACCCCCAGCGTTGCAAGGTTCCACTCATTGTGACAAGCTCCCCGGCCCCTCTCATGGCCAGCGTCTCAAAGGAAGGGGCCACCAGCAAAGGGGCGCTGGCGGACTCGGGAGCATCCTGAAGTAATTTGTGTTGGGGCAGACCCATGAACTCAAGGGAAGTTAGAGTCTAGAGACTCATCCAGCCCGGCGGAGTCCCCCCAAGAATCTCAACAGGAGCGTATGCGGCAATGGACGGCCTCCTCCGGACGCCCTGCCGTTGGCGTGCTTTGATGGCTGCGTGGTTGGACAAGGCTGCAGTGAATGCACACCAATAAACCCTGGGGCTCCATGTCTATAGATAATACCTACATTGGGCCCCAATGTCTATAAATAGTACCTACATTGGGCCATTTGGAGCCCTAGGGAAAGTAGATGCTTAATTGCCAGTAGACGGCAGACTCCCGACCTGTAAAGCGTCAACCAGCAGAACACCGATTTGCAGAATTGCGGCCTCTCCGATGCTGCTATTTGCCCAAGAGGGGCAAGAGGATGAACCTTCCTACATTCCACGCTGAAAACAAGAAACAGCAAGCCTTCAAGCCTAGACCCTCCGCCTTAAACAGTAAATTTGCAACCTCCGAGAACAAAAGCCCTCGGAAGGCCCGGGAGCATCCAGCAGTACATCCTTCCTTTGCCGGCGCAACTTGGCTGCAGGGAGTTTCTCAAGCTGGTGGTCCCTGTTTGGAGGGACCGTACAGCGAAGATCTTGCTGTTTGGGGGGATGTAGTAGAATTTGAACAACAGCAGCAGCCATACCAGTCGTCACAACTACCCAAGCTAGAGTGGTGAGAAGCTGAAGCAACACCTTCGTTACCAAACATTCTACCGGACCCTGAATGCCTTTATTCCTTGCGAGTCCTGGTATTCCTGTGTACCGCGGTCATGTTGGATCTTCAGTATCAACTGGAGCACTAGCTGACAGCATGAGGTTAGTACCCCATCGGTCCCAGTATCCCAACGATCATATACTTATTCAAAACCTGTAATATAGTTAGTGTTACCCAAATCCCAATACCTAATTGTTGGGTACCTGGACCCTCTGGGGTAGTACCTGCGCCAGTAAAAAGATCAGACATAACAACGGCCATCGTAGCCATTGTAGCCATCATCGCGACAGCTTGTGCAGCATTCAGAAGGTGTCAAAGTAAACAAAGGAGTATCCTGCACCTTATCCTGATGGCGTTGCACTTGGAGTTTCATAGGAAGCTATAACTGGGCCTTAAAAAGTATAGCCATATCGATAATACCACGAGTTGTGAGAACTAATTACCCATGAACTTCAAGTAGGGACCTGAGGAGCTTGGGTTATTTTAGCCGCGGTTTCCACTTTGGAATGTGAAGAGAGACTTTCACGCCTTCCCTTTTTGACGACCTCGGATTCCTTCGTTGCAGATATTCCTTTGCATCCCTGGCTACAAGCAACCAAAATGTGATGATTGGTCAGTTGTCTTGAAGTGGGACCTTTTAAGTGATGAATACAGTGCTTAGTTTTTCGCCATCATGATCTTCCATAAGTGGTGCTTGGAGAGAGGACGCAAGTCATGAAATGGCCAGTATACCGGGCAGACTGGTTCGGCAATTCAGCTCAACCCCTAAATCCTAAACTTTCAAGCGGAGTTTCGGGTTCGGGGGCTGAGGGTTGAGGATGAAGTTTCAAATCTTCTACCTGATACTACGCACCACCAAAGATAGCATTGAATGTTGTTGGAACTGTTTCTGTTTTGGTAATAGTGCGCGAGGACCCTTGAGAGCCTTCATAAAAGCCCTTGGCGCCTGGACCCTGACGTGTTATCTCTGGAGTTCCAAGAGTCGAATAGGATTTTCAAGGTGTTAAACCAGAAGTGAGATGAAAACGTCCAAGAATGCAGTTTCTAACCAAGCTAGCACAGCTCAGACCAATCCTGATACCCCAAAGTCATGGAATCGGACAGAATTTCGACAGAATGTATGCTGCAGGCCATTGGATATTGCTTTGGTGGGCAAGCAGTTCTCGAGCAGGTGCGCGCAGGACTGTCCTTTTAGCGTATATGTCTGGAAATGAGCAGGAACATCTCTGGACTCCTGTTACTTTCTGGTGGTTAGTAGGGAATAAGGGAATATCAGGGAATATACATAAATATATATTATATATATATATAATAGGGAGTAGATTCCCATCTCCGGGCTCATATGCATACGACCCTCGACTGTGAAGGACATCCCATTCAGGCGGCCGCCGCTGGGTCATTGTTGAAAACGCTGTTTCTTTCAAAGGTTAGTCAACCTCCGAAAACAATGAACCGGTTCAAAAGACTGTCGCAGGAAAGGTCAAAAGCCCAATGAGCAACCGCTCCCCACAAACCGTGTTGAGACGAGCCTGACGGCGGCGGAAATCCCCAGACGGGCCCGAAGAAGCCCCCATCGCGAAGTTTAAAAGAAAAAACAGGGTCCTTGAGAACCTGACTGATCCTCGGAGGGCTCATGAACTCTGAAACATGTTTCGACACACTTTCAAGCACCCGTTGAAAGAAAGCAGGTCACATTTCATGGCCTCCTTCATTCCCGGCCCAAGCGGGTGTGGAACAGAGGAGGCGAGGTATGGTCTAGCGTAATCCCCTCCCCCTACGATCAAAATTATTAGGCCCCCACCCCCCTAAGATTAGATACTCCCATTCTGTGGTCTATTATAATATGTAGGGAGTATTTACTATCAGGGGGTTGGGAGGTTACGGTGAGGGGATTAGTAGGCATGGTCTGAGGCAGGCCATGCTCCCAAATTCGTAGAGCTGGCATCTTATGAGCTACCGTCTAAGCAGCTTAAAGGGGCGGTTATATAGGGGACTACTATAGGGGTCCTTAAGGGGGATAAAAGGAGTTTAGGCTTTATATAGAGGACTACTACAGGGGTCATAAAGGGGGATAAAAGGAGTTTAGACTACAGCTCTTATGTCCTTTTCTTTCTTGTAGGGGTTGTCAAACGGTCTTTAAGCTTAAGGTTTGGTGTCTTGGGGGGTGGCTTTCATGATGGCAGGCTGGTAAATTTCCATGCGATTTAAGAAGGGGACCACCTAACCCTAAGCATCCCAAGACCATCATAAATAACAAGGATTCCTTAAATTCATAATAGGAGTTTCCTTATCCAACCCATTGAACCCACATTATTTTTGGTCTTAGGATGGTTCGGGTAATAGGGACCATAAAGTTGAAGCACACCCTGAAGGAAGTTTCAATACTTGTTTTTCCATGTATAACAGCTTTCCACTTGGTTTCTTCATATTCATGCACGATGTGGTCCGTGAGAAATTCAGGCGCAGTCCCGCATAAGAGGGGCTGTAATGTTTTTTGTTTTTCTGTGGGGCACCCAAACATTAGGGCCATGCGCTAAGATGGAGACCCCGAAAAGAGATTATCAGAGCAAGTGCAGGCGGTGGCTACGGAGCGCGGATGTCAGCGGAGGACCCTGGATGGGGCGCGTTCCCGGAGATTTAGAGATTTGGAGGTAAGGCGGCATAAACATGACGTTGTCCCATGGTTCGGGGGAAGTCCTGGAATTTGTTGTACGGTTTAACAGATCAACAGATTTGTATTTTTGCCACGCTTATCTCGTCAAAGGCCTTAACTCTCTGCAATTTTCCGGTCGGTTGGGTTTAGCCGTCAAACTGCATATGTGAAATCCTTAGGGTTTCAGGTCTGAGTGTTTCTCCAGTTGGGGATTACAGGTGTGCTGCAGGCCCATCTCTGCGTTGTTTTGCAGCAAAGCCCCCTTACTATGATTTCTGGGGTTGTAGTCTTTGTGATGCTCTTTTGGGGTTCCATATTAGTTTTCCGAAGTCTGTGCATCTCATGCTGATTCAGGAAGACAATGCCAGCAGGGGAGAGCATGCGGGAAGCTGCTGGAAATGTTGTCGGAGTTTCGCAAGAGCTGATAGTTTCACCAGCCCAAATGTAAGGATCAGTACTTACGCACGCTAAACTTTAAACCCTAGGGCATAGCTTTCAACTCCCACAGATTTGTCGTAAGCGGTCTTATGCGACTAATGCCACTGGTATTTGAGCAGTGCCCTAAGCATTTTGCTTAACATGGCTATCATATAGCGGGAAGAGATCCTCCTTAGATTGTTGGGGCTACGCTGCGCTGATCTGATCCGTGGTTGTGCCGTCTTGTCGTGTTCAGGGATTTGTCATGAAGCTCTGCAACTTCAGCGCCGTCACCGGGATTAGTAGGTGTAATTAATTGACTACAGTACGAGGCTTGCATCTTTGCTCGGACGACGAACTTGGTCATTTGCGAACGCTGGCTCCGATGCTGGCTATGGCTCACCAACTGTTCACCGAAATGGAAACCCTCAACCCTGACTGGTAGCCCCAGGTCACCCCCGACCCCCCTTTTCCTGAAGCCTAAACACTGCAGTCTCTGTAAACGCTTGATGCGTTATGAGTTGTCATTTGAGTATCGCATCAACGAGCCCCAACACCATGTTTCAATTATTTTCAATTTCTCTCCCACGGTACACCCTAAACCCGCAGAACCCTAAAGCCACTGCATCATTTTGCAGGAGTTTGCTGCAGACCCCAGCATCCAGAAGGCTCCCAACAGCTACAGGACCGAATGCAAGGCCTGAAGTAAAATGTACAAAGTTATATATAGTCTATAGTCTATAGTCTAGTACATTATAGGAAAGGATAGTACAGTATGGGTTTATAAGGGGTATATAGGGTTCATAGGGATGCTGGAGAATCGACTGAAAAAGAACATGGAAACTGAAGCTAAGTGGAAACTGGATTATTCTTGGGAGTATGAGGATTAAGAGTTCCCATAAATTTAAACCATACGTCGTGAGTTTGAGTTGATGTCTGCAGACAACCCGGCAGAAAGAAGGCCATACATGAGGTTGACCAAGGTTACAATGCTTTTTAACCAGGGTTCTTACGTCTGAAGATTCTTGCCTCTATCAGATGGTGGGATGCGACGTGCTTCAAGGACCCATTATATTTACTAAGCTGAAGCCAGACTCTCAGCTAGCAAGACTCTAAACTCCATGCGTTCTTGGGGGGTATCAAGGTATGGCACTTTTGGTGTTCTTAGCGCTTCATTGTGCTAGGGAGTGCTGATTCCAGCGTGCAAGTGACATGTTCTTCCCGCTACACGCAGAACTCTGCACACATGGATGCCAGGAACCTTAAGTACCCTGAAAATTCAATCTTCATCCCTGAATCTTCAGACTTCATCCTTAAGCCCCAAAGCCAATCTCCGGCAGGTGCTTATCGAAAATGGTGACCTCGACGAGCACGTGCCAGTGGAGTCTGTTGAGGACACCTGGGGTTCCTCTCTGCTTGGACTGACATTTGGTCTTAACTCGTGCTATTGGAGGTACTGTTGTGGAGCTTCGTGATTCATCCCTCGTGCTTGCTCCTTGCTTGTTGTCCTTCGCCTATCAGGTCGAAATTCAGCCAGTTTTACGAAAACTGTCAGGGCTGAAAACTGGGTTACCCATGTATCTTGGGGTTGGGACCTAGGAAAAAAGCCAGGATCAACATGATGAAAGGTTACCCTGGTGCTTTGCCGCAGCCAGGCCAAGCCAAATGGAAACATATGAACATGCGCAGTGAGCATGATCCAGAAATCTCATTTCAGCCAGGCCTTCCTACCCCTAAAGTGTCAGGGTTGCCTGACCATAAAAGTAGCCGAGCATTTCGTTAGCCCGTGCCTTTGGTTTACCCCGGTGCCGGGGGATGTATTCTATAAATCCTAAAATAACCCCTGTAAACTACCCTATAATCACAGTTTCCATTTCATTTTCCACATTCTTTTCCATCTGATTCTCCATTATACCCCCTATACTATAATATTATACCCCCTATATTAACATTATACCCACTATACTATAATATACTACAATGTATGCTCCCTTAAGTGCCCTGCTGTCCAAGAACGATCGCTCACATGCCAGACCACCAGTTCTTGAACCGCCTTCCACCCGCCTGATCCCAGTAATGATCCCTTCCCCTAAGGATCCAAGTACCTAATAATCATAATTAGGTCCCTTCAAAGAGGGATAGAAAGCCGGATATTTAGGCTTCAGGGTTTAGGGTCCAAATACCCAATAATCATATACTTACCCAAAACCTGTACTATAATGACTATTACCCGTATCCCAAGTACCTAATTATTGGGTACGGACCCTCTGGGTTCGCTAGTCCCTTATCATCTGCGCTAGCCCTGGCCGAGAGTTTGCCTACTGATGATATTTTTGAAGGCTCCTTGGGGGAAGCATGCTCCCTTTGACCTTCACAACAATTGCTTTGTCCATGTTTGTTCATGCTGTGACCTTGACACCTGTAGCAAAGCCAAAGCTAGGATTTCGGCAAGATTCTTTCCTGGACCTAGGCTGAGTGCACCAAGGAAGGGGCTTTTAACTCAGGGCAGTGATCAATCCTGGGGATTCAGTCCCTCCCTCCCAACCCAGTACGAGGAGATGATGGCACAGGCAGGAGAAACCGCAAATCCAAGCAAGGACTCAGCGCTAGCAAGATGTTAGAGAAATGTTGAGGGCTGGAATTGCGTCAAGATGGTTCTTATAGCATTTGGTGAGATCAGAATTCAAGGAGTTCCGCAAGGAGATGGACGTTGCGGGTATTGACTGGCGATTCCACAACCATGCCCAGACACCGCATGGCTTCGCGCTAGCTCCAGGTGGCGGGGCAGAGGCTAAGGGTAAAGGGGTTTAGGGTTTGCCGTTCAGCGCATATTTGGCCTCATGTGTCTTTATGCAGGGCTTATGTACGGATTTACGGAAAGGTGCCCGGATACACAGGGTTTGAATTAGGAATCTAAAGTAGATGTGTTTTGGCGTTTTCTGGGCACGCAGAGCATCATACAATAGCCCTGACACCCTACCAAAACCCCTCAAGGCAGGTAAAATAATGGCCCAAATCCCCCAAATATAGCCCAAAAGGCCATTATTCTACATACTTTGGGGGTCCAGGTAGCAACCCTAAACCCTAAACCCCAAACCCTAAACCCTAAACCCTAAATACATACTTTGGGGGTCCAAGTACACTTCAAACCTGGAGCTCCAAGGTCTTTGGAGCTCAACCTACCGAGAGAACGCTGATCGGCGTTCCACTCTGTCAATGCTGCAGCTCTTTGCGGAGGCAAGAGTGGTTCATGTACCCAATAATTATGTACCATAATTAGGTCCCGTTAAAGGGGGATATAGGGCTATTTAGGGTTTAGGG